TCTTCACAGCTACACATTCTTTCAGACCCATAGTATCAAGTTCTTCTCACAGTGGAAGGATGGACTAAAATTACAGCGAGAGGGGAGCTTGATTTTCTCCCCTCTCTCTTTAAGTGCTGTTCATCTGATGGTGACAGTTTTGGTGGTCTCGCAGGTGGTTGTTAGGAATCCCATTTTCTCTGTATCTTTTAATCAGTTTTTGAAAACTCCATTTTTTTGCTGTTTATTTTTTTATTGTGTTTGTTATTAAAATTAAATTATATAATAAAAATAATAAAATGCTTTATTTAAAAATAAATAAATGAAGAGTGATGTCTGACTTTTGCCTAGTACCATTTACATTGTGAAAAAAAGTCATTATGAACAGACCAACAGAAATATTCCAAAATTGCATGAAATTACATTGAAAGTAAATGTTTTTGCCCTCTCTTGTAAAGTTACCATTTTGGAGCTGTTTTTCGTTGGACAGCGACGATATTCTATTAATTTTTTAGAGTAATCTTGTCAGCTGTCTATTTGGTATTCCTTTTGACTGAATGCTGATTCTGATTCTGTTATATAAAACTATAGATATGTTTAACACTTGAGCAGTCTTGCATTACGTACAGTTAACATCTACATCAATATAGTACAGTAATTATGTTTTGTTGTCGTGCTTTAAAGATTACCAAATATTACAAATACTGGTCAGCAGTAAAAATGGCAGCAAGAAATGAAACAAACAATATTTTACAGAACCTTAGCAAAAAAAGAAAGAAAAAATTTAAAAATTTAAAAAATGTGGTAATTGAGACAGTACTGTTGTTTTATTAATCTGCACAGAATTACGACCATATTAATCATTTGGCCAGTATTCTCATTTCCACTGCTGGCTGTGTTCATTCAGCAGCCACAGAACACACAGCAGGATCCCTCAGCCACATTATATGAAGTAGGCTAAGTTAAGATGTGTTAACTCTCCAGAATTACTCAGCTACAATCACTTGTCACGTCAACTAATTACTCTTTTTTGTCTTCAGGCTAGATTCGTCTGAGGTGAATCCAGTATGGAGTATGTTCTTGGGTCAGCTTGTCACCCAGCCAAAGATTGCTCACTCATGAGTAACCTGTCGGGAAGACAGTTTAAATAAGAAACTTCTATGGCCCAAAATATTAATGCTAATGCACTAAAAAGCGAATGAATAAAATACCAGGTCTACCAGATCTTGCAGGTGGTTGTTGGGAGTATCATTCAGGTTGGATCCTCTGAGTAATATGTGCCACATTGCCATCAGTTGTCTTTTAGTTTGCTTTCAGCAAAAATAAATTCAACACAATTCCATGTTATTTTAATAATGTAGCACCAGTACATGCACAGTTTTATTCCTCCTTTGCCACCCCAATAAATTCATTGGATCTACCACCACATAGTGAAAACTCTGGCTACGCCCCTCACTGGGGTTAGACTTGAGAGGCTCAGAAGAGTAATGTCTGTATGGGAAAGGTGTACACATGAACAGCTGTACTCCTTCAGCCTGCTTCTTCAGAAAGCTGCACCTAATCAATTACATACGCGCTCTCAGCCCATTGAGTCTGTCAAGTTGGACAGCAAAGCCGGGTAGGAGACTGTTAGGGGATTCATTCTTTAACAGCGAGTGTAGAAAGCAAACCTGACAGTCTTTAACTTGATCTTGTTTTATGCCAGTACTTCTCAAAGACATAGGACTGGCATAGAACTATAGTTTGCAAGCAGGCTGTGTATTACATAAATGTGGTAGAGGTAACGTTTAGCTCATTAGGTTAGTGAACTGAAGCGCTGTTATTTTCAAAGAAACCACACATTCTAGAGAGAATCAGCAAGGAGAGCCTGTCCATTTAGCCAATCCGCCAAATTTGTCTTCCCACAACATACAGTGTAGTAGTAAGTATAAATAGAATAGAAGTTCATGTTTATGGTACGTGGAACGGATAAAATGTGCAATAAGTGTAGATACAAGGAGGTGTACTCAATGAAGTAGCCGGTCAGAACATATATCTGTGTCTGTGTGTATATATGTGTGTAATCAGATAATTTAGGTGCTGATATTTGATTGGCGGAGTTATGTTTAGCTAGTCACAGTAATTTCAGTCATCAAATATTTACACACTTATAACTGCCTCACAAAAACTGTATTCTCTTAGCGCACCAAGTCATGAAAAGTTCTTTTGCTGTTAATGGATTAATCTTTGATTGTAATGTTGCTTGTATGGACCACCGAAAATACTGATGACATAAGAAACTGGTTTTGATGTGCAACAGAATGTTCTTGTCATCTTTCAACAGTCCAACAATGACATTTTCTAAAGAATTTCTTGGCGGAACACTTGTTTATCTTGATTTTTGTTATTAATAATAACATAATAATAAATTGTTTATTTATACCTTGTGTGTTTTATTATATTTTTACCATTTTTAAAAGCAGTAAGCCACTTGAGGCCATACGTTACAGTGATTTCATCACAGTTAAGTGTGTTTTACTCCCATTGCTTCCCATTGTTTCTGAATAACACCCTTACCCGTGAACACTGTAACACATGGCCTCAAGTGGCTTCTTGCTTTTACTTACAGACTGTGTGCATTGACCTGTGAGAGGTGTTGAGGTGCTGAGTCACACTACATATCAAACCATTTTTGTTTTTTTAGGTGCACATTAACAGCCTCTCTTTTATTACATCATAGTCAAACAGCTGAACCCCTTAACCAGTTAAAACTAAAGATAAGTGAGTGAGCAAGTAGCTGTGTCATGTTTATGATATACTCCTTATCATATTTGTGATATATCCGTTAGGGAACAGCTGAATAAAGGCAAATGCTTGATCTTGGCTGAAGGAGCAGTATGTTTACCTGATAGATAGCTCGGGGTTGGGGGTGTTGGGGTTATGTGATTGCTTAGTCAGAAGGAATTCAGAAGGTGCTCTTTCACTCAGTGCTGGATTTATAAATTTAACCATAAACAGGACTGTTTTGAATGTCTGACTGTACCATTTATTTTTAAGGGTATCATTAGGCGATCATTATGCATAGAAGACACATGTAGAGTCACTGGCCATTTTAAATAAATAAAATGGCTATATTTGCATTATGCTCTATTGGACATTGCAACCCCTGGTTCCCATCACCCCCACTGTAAAGAAATCTGAGCTGATAAGTTGCTCTACAATGCACTATTTTGCATCAAACAACTCTGCAAGACTTTGTTTGAATCACAATGTTTGAACTATGAACAGATTTTGAAAAATAAATAGAATTCCACTTTATGGTAAAATACAAATTATTAACTGAACTACTAGCTAAAATGCCATGAACCACACAGTGAGTGTCACTGGGTTAAAGCATGGATACTATTTGTATTTGTATTTTATTTATTTATTTATTTTTGTTTTGTTTAGGCATGTAAATATTTAATTTTGTGTTGATAGTCAATAATGGGCTCATAATACAGAGTTTGATGGCTTGGCTTTGTCTGTTCTTTAGCACCATTCAAGTTGATCTTCCCTATGCTGGCTTGTGATGAATCTCCCTTTTATATTTCATATTGAACACACACAATGCTCTCACAAATTTGTAATGTTATTTTTGCAATGTATATCATTTTTAATTAACCCCACAATGTGCTTGTGTTCTTTCACTAGCACCTGACTCATACAAATACACTATGTGGACAAAGGTATGTGGGACACCTGAACATTAAAACAAGACAAGCTTGTTGGGCATCCCATTCCAAAACCATGATCATTAGTATGGAGTCGCTTTGCAGCTATAACTGCCTCCATTCTTCTGGGAAGGCTTTCCATCAGATTTTGGAGTATGTCTATAGGAATTTGTGCCCACTTGGTTAAGAGAGCATTTGTGAGATCAGGCACTAATGTTTGCTGGAAGGCCTGGCTCACAATCGATATTTCAGTGCATCCCAAAGGTGTTCGATGCAGGCCGCTGGAGTTCCTCATCATGTCTTTATGGGCCTCACTTTGTGCACAGGGGCACAGTCATGCTGGAACGGGAAAGGGCCTTCCCCAAACTGTTGCCACAAAGTTGGAAGCATGTAATAATCTAAAATGTCTTTGTATGCTGAGAAATGCCCCCAGACCATTATCCCTCCTCTACCAAACTTTACTGTTGGCGCTATACATTTTGATAGGTAACATCCTCCTGGCATTCACCAAATCGAGATCATTCATCAGACTGCCAGATAGTGAAGCATGATTCATCACTCCAGAGAACATGTTTTTACTGCTCTCAGGTCCAGTGGCACTGTGCTTTACACATCTCCAGCTGATGCATGGCATTATGCACAGTGATCCTAGGCTTGTGTGCAGGTGCTCAGCCATGGAAAGCCATGTCTTGAAGGTCCTGACACACAGTTTTTTGTGCTGATGTTGCCTCCAGAAGCAGTTTGGAACTTTGTAGTGAGTCGTGCAACAGAGGACATGTAATTTTTACGGTCTACAGCACTTACAGTTGACCAGGGCAGTTCTAGCAGGGCAAAAATTTTACAAAGCAACTTATGGCAAAGGTGGCATCCTATGACAGTGCTACATTTAAAGTCACTGAGCTCTTCAGTGCCACCCATTCTACTGCCAATGTTTGTCTATGGACATGCATGGCTACATACTTGATTTTATACACCTGTTAGCAATGAGTGTGTCTGGAATATCAGAACTCAACAGTTACTTTTGGCCATATATTGTATGACCACATTTACTGCATGCTACAGATTCTAAATGACCTAGACTCACCTCAGGTATTAGTGCTCATATAGTGGTGTACAGTTTCAAATAGAGCCTCTCATTTCTAGCTCACTGAAAGCAGCTCAGTCCACTGTGCTTTTCTGTGTAAAACCAAAGTGCTTAGTCAAGGCCAGATGCAGTTGTCATCAGAGCAGACATTTCAGACTTTTATTAAAGCTCAATCCACTTTTTTTTTTACCTTCAGCTAATGACACTCCAATTTACTGGCTTGTTTTGCATGTTTTTGTGTGCAGATTGACCAGTATGCGCAAAGTGATCTGAAAAAAGGCCTCCAGCTTTTTGGCACTGAGGGAAACATCGGCCTGACCAATGCCTGGAGCATCGTCCAGACCGATGTAAGTATCCAAGCTGGTTTGTGTGTATGAAAGGACATGTGGAGTGTTTCAGTTGAATTTAGTGTTCACTATTTGAAGTCATGGAGATCCACATGTCCCTCATATTAAGATTTTACTGTGTTTAAATAATGAAATCTAATGTCACTGTATAAATAAATGAGTCTGTTCTTATTACCTGTGCAGAGGAAACAAATGCACCACTGCTCTCCTGGCAAAACTGATGCATTAAAAATGTACTAATACATTTGGATTTCCATCCTAGATAGTTTGTGCTGCAACATCCTTTACTTTGATCATCTTTAAAGGTGGAGCGGATGTTGACAGTCTCACAAATTCCAGTGAAAAAGCTTTCTCACAATGATGTCTACAGTTATCTACGTGTGAAACACCTGTTCAGCTAAATGACCTGTCACTGTTTTCAACACACTTTCAACTTTACATATTCCACATTATTACATACATATAAAAAGAACAGCTTTAACAGCTTCACTAATGTGATAAAAAGGTGCTTGGTAAAGAGAAGAAAGAGAGAAAGAGAAAATGAGACATGATGACATAGAAAAGGTGAGCAAGAGAGAATTTAAGAGAGAATGAGAGAGAGAATGTAAAAGAATTATAGAATGATAGAGAGATAAAGATAATGAGAAATTGGGAGAATTATAGAGAATAAGTGAAAGAGAGAGAGAGAAAAAGAGAGGGATAGAGAGAAAGAGACAAAATATGTGAGAGAATAAGAGAGACAGAGAATATGGGAGATAACGGACAAAGAGAGAGATTATGAGAGAGAATGACAGAGAGGGAATGGGAGAGAATGGAAGAATGAGTGAGGGAAGGGAGAGAAAAGAGAGCGAAACAGAGAGAATGAAAGAGAAAATAATATATAAATAATATATATAGATATAATAAATATAATATATAATATGAGAGAGAGAGAGAGAGAGACATGGTGTGAGAGAGAGTATGAGAGAGAAAGGGAGAAATTGAGAGCAGTTGAGAGAGACTGAGAAAGAATGAGTGAAAAGAGATTGACAGACAGACAGACAAACACAAAGAACACAAGCACAAAAAAGAATTCAAGAATAACAGAACGAGAAAAAAAGGAGAGTGGAGAGAAAAGAGTGAATGGGAGAGATATATAGAGAGAGAAGAGACTGAGTGATGAAGACAGAGACAGAATGAGAGAGACAGAGAATATGGGAGACAATGGACAAAGAGGAGAGAGACAGGAAGAGAGAAGAGGATGAATGATAGAGAAAGAAAAAGAGAGAGAGAGAGAGAGAGGGAGAGAGATAGAGAGAGAGAGGGAGAGAGATAGAGACAGAGAGAGAGAAGGTATGTGTTAAAATCCCTTATGGACCTGGTGTTTGTTCTGGGTGCCTTTGATGTGCCTTTCATTGTATTATTCATGTTAATTCCACAGCTTTTCCCAAAGAAAGGAGGTGAGAAAATGGATGGGATCAGCAAACACACCAGCCTCCGCATGTGTGTGTATGTGTGTGGCTGTTTTATTCATGTTTCTGTGTTCTGTTGCTGAATAAAAAATGGCTAATGGTGTGCCAAAGGGCTTGCGCTCTGGAGCTGTTGTGTTTATGGATGGATAAGACCGTGTCTTTTGTTTGCTGATGTATGTGTAAAAGCGCCTCGGCTGACAACTTTTAAATCTTTTACCAGCAGGGCAGAGAGATGGAGTGTCGACGGCGCCTCTCTTAAGGCTTTGAGAAAAGATATCTGTGCATAAAACTCTTGAAACATGTGAAACACCTGTTCAACTAGCTGACCTGCCTTTTTAAAGCTCCTTCAATGTAACTTTATATTCCACACTATTAGACAATCAGTCTCAACAGCAGTTAAAGGTGCTTGTAAATAGAGAGAAACAGAGCTAAAGAGAGAGAAAGGTTTGCTGTTGATGGATTCTCTCTTAAGGGTTTGAGAAAAGCTCTCTTTAACCGTCCTGTTTGCTCGATACCCCACTAGCACAGGGCAGAAAGTAAACAGTGTGAACGTGTCTGAGTTTGTCTCTGTGGCTGAGAGAGCAGAGCAGACAGATGCAGGCAGATCGAGCTGGTGAATAAAAGATGTGATGGAGAGGAGCGTGTCTGTGTGAGTGCTGCTGATTGGTGTGTATGAATCATGGATTATGGCTTTTAGGCCGTTCGTTAGCGGCTGCGGGAAGGTGATGTGGTGCAGTTCAACTGGAAGCAGATGAGATTTTCCCTGTATTGGAGTGCTGGTGTGGCTAAGGAAGACAGGATGAAGCAGAGATGCTGGAGGAGAAAAGAAAAAAAAAGAAAACACCTTCTAGCTCACACATGATCTTTTGACCTCAAAATAAATATTTTCCATGTACCTCAATGAAAAAAAACTCACTTCCACCACAATATCAGTCTGATTCAGAGACATTTTCACTCTGCTTACTTCTCTGTCTCTCTCCATCTCCTCTCTTTCTCTGTCTATATCTCTCTATCTCTGTTTTCTTGCTCTCTTTTTCTTCTCTCTCTCTCTCTCTCTTGTCCCTCTCCTATTCACTGTATTTCTCTCTTCTCTTGCTCTCCCTTTCTCTTTCTTCTGTCTCACTCTCTTCCTCTTCTACGCCTCTTCCTTTCGCTTACACTCTCTCTACCTGTCTCTCTATCTTACCATCTTATCTTTCTGTCTGTCTCTTTACCTCTTTCTCTCTGTCTTACTTTCCTTCTCTTCACCTTTTCTCTTACCCTCTCATTCTTTCTTCTCTCTCTCTCTCTCTCTCTCTCTCTCTCTCTCTCTCTCTCTCCCTCTTAGTTCCGCTGCTGTGGAGTGACTAATCACACAGATTGGTTTGAGGTCTATAACGCCACTCGTGTGCCTGACTCCTGCTGTTTGGAATATAGTGATAACTGTGGTCTGGAAAATCCTGGCACATGGTGGACAGCGGTAAGTAAAACACACACACACACACACACACACACACACACACACAGCCCAAAGATCTCTCATCGATTTGACTTTTTAATCAATTTCACACAGTATCCAGAGCAGCTTTAGCTTCCTGCTGCGCTCGGTGTACCTGCACTTATTGACTTCACACTCACAGCCGTCTCAGGGCCAGCAACCCGTCACTCAGCCTGCTGCCTCGTCTCACCCTCCTCCTGTCTCTCTAACAACACACAAACAGTGTTGGAGGTTCTGAAAACAGAGGACGCTGTTTTCTTGCCAGTGACAGTTTATAACCCAGCAGTGGGTCAGAAAACTGTGGATTTGTGGTGACTAAAGAAACAGCTTGATTACTGGGACAAAGGCAGCTATTAGCCTATGCAGCATAGCACCTGAAGAGATTCTGATGGCACTTGCTGTGCCTTCTTCTCCTCACTGTAACTTCCGTATGCTGTGACCGATCTGCGGAGGCGGGTATAGTCTAACTTCATAGTCAAGTAGAAGCATTACTTCAGTGAAATCAGGTCTCGAGCAGAAGTTAAATATTCTCCTGAAAACAACTTGAGTGAAAAAGTGTCAGTCTAAAAAACTGAGTAACTTCTTATATTCGTACATTGAGCACCTGGGGAACACCAAAGAAATGATTTCCATTAAGACTGGAAAAAAACGGACTGCAAAACTTAATGAAGACTCTGCCCGTTATACAAAGAGTGATCAGGGAATTTTTTTAAGGAAATCCCCAAAATGTCTAACCACCAACATATTAATGCTATTAAAATTACAGAACACTATATATATATATATATATATATAATATATATATATATAGTGTACCTTATACACATGGATATTAAAATAATATCATAATAATAGCCAAAAACATGATAACAGATTAATAGGGATGTAACAATTCACAAAAAATGTCAAAATGTGCATTATGATAATCCCCTTATGAAAAAGGAATTTCTTTAATACTTTATGATACACAATATTGTGATTATCATGTTTAGTATTTTCTTGTGTATATACTGTATTTGCATAGTATCCTTTTGCAGTATAGTATCTATTGTGGTTGTCTGAATCTACAGTGAGATTCTTTGAGGAAATTCCTGTAGAATAACTATACAAGCTAACGTGCTAACCATGAAGTAACGCGCTAAATGCATCCCAACATGCTATCTGTGAACTAACATGCTAACCATGAGCTAATGTGGTAAACGTGAGCAGCGTTTTAACCGCAAACTATTAGAGTAAATGTGAACCAACATGTTAACCGCAAGCTACAAACGTGAACAACTGCGCTAACCATGAGCTCATGCAATAAATGTAAATTAATGTGCTAACCACAAGCTAATGCAACAAAAATGAACTAACTAGCTAACCATAAGCTAATGCAACAAATGTGAAGTAATTGTGCCAACCGCAAGCTACTGTGATAAATATGAACTGACACACTAACCACAATGTAATGCAGTAAACGTAAAGTAATGCACTAACCGAGCTAAGGCCCTATAGCCCTGAACTAAAGCGCTAACTGCAAGCTAACACACTAACTGCCAGCAGTTTCATTTCTTGTAGTCTGTTGAATATTTTTTGCAATGCCCATGTGTGTAAAAATATATGCTGTATTGTTACACCCCTAATTTCATTACATCCCTAATTACATCCCTAAATTTTTGGCAGTTGTCATGATATTTTTAAAAGTACTCCAAAAGTACATTAATTTATGCTTTAAAAGTACAAATCCATCAATATTTTACTGAACTAAGTGTGCACATGTAACTATGAAGCACCCACACCCACTAGGGTGAAATGGATTTAAAAACTTCATGGCCTTTCAAAATTGTTCATCATGCTGAGCTTTCAGGCTCTGTTGCCCTGGGCATCTTCTGCAGTGCCACTGCTGTCCTGGTCCTGGCTGCAGATGCAGTCAGTCAACCTTCAGGAGATAGAGGGAATGACCTGAGGGAGGGATAGAGGAAAAGAAAGTGAGAGAGATGGAAGAGGCTTTGTGATTTTGCCATCTTCAGCAGTGTTCCACTGTGAGTGCAGCGCTGTATGGCCAATGCCTGGAGCAAGTTCCTTTAAGACACTTTTGCCATAGTAAGGGGGTTGACATGTTTGCCTTTTCAGAACATTAAATCAGAGTGTCTTGAATTATTTAGATTGGCCAAGCAAATGGTGTCATAAGAGATGCAAGTTAGATGCCAGCACAGTGTGTCCCAATGCAGCACTGTGCAGAAGAAACGCATTTTCCTCCTGTCATGGTGTGGAGTGCGTATGCTTGTATAAAACAGTGTATCATCACTGATAGGGCCGCAATGATTAGGCTGGTCAACAGTCAGACTCCAATATACTACAGTGTTCAGAGCCAAGAAAAAAGTATTTCTGATTTCTTTTATTTTTTGCAAATTTGTCACACCTGTTTCAGATTTTCAAACCATATCTATTATGACAAAGACAACATGAGTGAAACACAAAATACAGTTTTAAAACAATCATTTCAATTATTGAGGGAAAAAGGGTAACACCAGTTGGCCCCATGTGAAAAAGAAACTGCCCCCTTAGTTACTCAATCAACCAATTAACCAAATTTAGTTGATGACTTGGAGAAATTAAACTAGACACACCCAGGCATGATTTTTGCCAGTGCTGGATCTAAATGTCACTGAAATAGAATGTTTCCAGCAGTGTAAAGTAGGATACAGGATCTCAACATGCAGCACACTATGCCACCATCAAAAAAAACAACAAAATTCCAGAAGAGATGAGAAGGAAAGTTGAAATATATCAGTCTGGAATGGGTCTGATCTGCAGGTACAGTCTGCAGAGGTGGGTATAGTAGTATATAGTAGTATAGTAATAACTTCATAGTCAAGTAGAAGCATTACTTCAATGAAATCAGACCTCAAGCAGAAGTTAAAATATTCTCCTGAAAACAACTTGAGTTGGAGTGAAAACGTGTCAGTCTAAAAAACTCAAGTACTGGGTAACTTCCTATATTAGTACATCGAGCGCCTAGGGGACACCAAAGTGGAGTGATAAAATGGACAATGAGCGTAGAAACAATATATATATATATACATAGGCGTCACTGGTGTTACCAATCCTCATTGGTGTTACACCTAATTTAGATAACACCAGAGACAGTAACACCACTGACATTTTTTAATGAAAAATGCATTTTACAAAATGTCTGCTACAGAGCATCAAACCACATGTTGGCAATCATGGAATATCCAGTAAAATATGTAATTTAATCTATTTGTTTCACATGAAATATGAAATCATGAGCTAAATGAGAAAATAACTGAAAAGACACAGTGGACTTACTATGTGCTCTTCTTCATAGATCCTCAGAAAATAGGTAAAAGGAAGTCAAGTGATGTCATCAGTATGATTATTATTTCAAAATAAGAGATTTTTTGTTACGCAGTAACACCAGTGACACAACTCCTGGGGACCACAGCTTTTGTTAGACATTTTATAATATTTATTTGGCATTTGTTTTCTTTATGTCATTTAATTCATATATTTCATAGTCATGTTTAGATTATTGCAATTAATATTGCAGAAAAACATGTTTTTTACCTCAAAATATGGCCTCACTCTTTACACATGACTGTGAGGATGAGCACTTCTGTGGTGCTTGGAATTCTATGGAATTGATTTAAAACCAATATTGCTAAATTGAGGCTCAAGAAGGTGTAGTTGTTAAAACAACTTATTGTTTTATTATAAAATCTAAATAAATTGTAACCCTAACATTTTCAAGTGTAATATATCTGTAAATGCAAAGGACACAAAAATGGATGTTTTTGTAGAATGACTCATATACATTTTTTCTTAATACAATATCATAATAACAGCCAGAACCACGATAAAAGATTAGTACGGATGTAACCAAAAAAATGTGCATCATGTTAATCCCCTCATGAAAAAGGAATTGCTGTACTTCTTTAAGATACTTATACAATGCTTCCATAATCATATATAGTATTTTCTTGTATAATCCAAACATCACTTAAATAGAAAGTTTCCAGCAGCGTAAAGTAGTCTAAAGGATCTCAACACACAGCACACCACGCCACCATAAAAAAAAACAAAATTCCAGAAGAGATGAGAAGGAAAGTTATTGAAATATATTAGTCTAGAAAGGGTTACAAAGCCATTTATAAGGCTCTGGGATTCCAGCAAACCACAGTGAGATTTATTATCTCCAAATGGAAAAAGCATAGAACTGTGGTGAATCTTCCCAGAAGTGGCTGCCCTACCAAAATTCCTCTAAAACACAACGACGACTCATCCAGGAAAACACAAAAAACCCAGATAAACATCTACAGAACTGCAGGCTCCGCTCACCTCAGATAAGGTCAGTGTTCATGATTCCACCATTAGAGAGAGAATGGACAAACATGGAACAAAGTTGAAAGTGGAACATTTGGAGGACAGGAGTCCCATTAGATCTGGTGTAAAGCTAACACAGCATCCCACAATAAGAACATCATACCAACAGGGCCTGGGTGACTTGCCATAACTGATGGAACCATGAATTCTGCTCTCAGAAAATCCTTCAGGAGAATGTCTGGTCCAGTCTAAGGTTTTCTTAGGTTATTCAGCAAGACAAAGATCTGAGGCAAAAAGCAAGTCTATCTCTGAATGGCTAGTGAAAGTCTGGATTTGAACCCCCTTGAGATGTGGTGGCAGGACCTTAAATGGGCAGTTCATACTCGAAAGCCCTCAATGTGGCTGAATGAAACAATTCTGCAAAGAAGAGTGGGCTAAAATCCCTCCACAGTGAGTGATCTCCAGTTATAGGAAGCATTTGGTTGCAGTTATTAAGTTTAGGGGACAAATACTGTTTCACATGGGTGATATAGGTATTGCAAAACCTTTCTCCTTCAGTAAATGAAATGATCATTTAAAAACTCTTTTGTGTCTCCTTGTGTTCTTCTTGTTTTATATGACATTTTGTTTGACGATCTGAAACCATGTAATGTGGCAAATATCCAAAAATAGAGCAAATACTTTTTCACAGCATTGTATTGACCTCCTTACATGCCATATTCTCCTGTATAGCATCCTGCACATGTCTGACACAATCAGTCCACCACTTTTTCTTATAGTTTTCCTACAGACTTTTAGCTTCATCACTTGCTCATCTCAAATATATTTTTCACTGCAAATGCCTCTGTTTAATCTTATAAACTTGTCCTACTTGTATCATAAGGATGATGGGTTGGGTTCCCCTCTGAGACTGCTGTATAAATAAAACTGGACCGAATTGAGTGTTGCTCAGCAATTCAATGTGTTTGTATGTGTGTGCCCGCAGCCATGCTATGAGCGAGTGAAAGGCTGGCTACAGGAGAACCTGGTGGCTCTGTGGATTTTTGCTCTGTGTGCAGCTCTAACTCAGGTACTTAGCGCATAACTGCATAATTGCCATCAGTCAGGAAATTCCCGCATGGGTTACCTAACAATGCTGTGTCGATGTTTTGAATCAATACTCGCGCTGGTGGGGCATTCACTGTGGGTCCTGCAGCGTAGGGGGGCCCATGGCAACCAGGCCCTGTAACATCTTTATTGGATAGTTCGCTATTTATGTTATTTTGCATGCTTGACTCAGGAGTAGCTACAGTAAATTAACAATGTACAGTGCTGTGCAAACATCAGAGACCACCCCACATTTATTTAACTTCCATTCAAAACTTCCATTAAGTTAATCGTTTTCCAGGGACAAAAAGGCAGATAAAACATATTAAAATGAAGCCTAAATAACTAAAAATAAAATGTCAGATGTTTTTTTACAGCTTCCATTCTTTTCAGGAGACTTGCTTTCAGTCTTTTAAAGACGGTTGCAGGGATATTTTTCCACACCTCTAAAGTTCAGTCTTGAAAGTTGGTTGCATTTTCTGCTTCTCATAATCCGAGTAATGCCAAACACTTTCAGTGATGTTGAGGTCCGGACTCCAGGGTGGTCAGGCCATTGTTCTGAGAACACCAGTAGCTTCTTGGTTTGATTTGCAAATTTCATTTTCTTTCTTTTTTGTTGATTTCCTTTCCCAAAGTAACGGCTTCTTGACAGCTGCATATCCTTTCAGACTCATAGTGCTGAGTTGTCTTCCCACAGTGGAAGGACAGATAGAAACAGCTGTGGATTTTTTCACATCTGAAGCAAAAGTGAAGCTTCATTTTCTCCCAGAAGATGAAAGGTTTATGTACTGTTAATCTGATGGTGACAGTTTTGATCTGCTAGGTCTTGCATAGTTGTTAGGAGTCACATTTTCTCTGTTTCTTCTATTAATTTTTTGAAACTCCAGTTTTGGAAACATTTTTTTTTACATATTTTCTGTTGACTTTCCCCTTTCTTATGCAAGTACATCTAATCTTCACAGAAGATTCTAAAAACATATCATAAAAGATGAATAACTTGTGCTTAATAGTCGTTTTGACTGGTAATTTAATAGATAATAGTGGTCTCTGACTTTTGCACAGACCTATTAGTCTACATTAGAGCATCAGCTTGTTTGAGACACAGCAATAGTGAGTAAACAAGTAAACTACATTGCCATTTTTTAAAAATAATTTAGGGTTTTTTTTCACTCTGGGGTTTTTAAGATCATATTTATGATTCTGATCAATACTAAAATGGCAAGGACTGAATAACCTCTATATGTTTGTGTGTTTTCAGATTTTAGGGCTTGTGTTCTCCATGACCATGTTCTGTCAGGCGGTGAAAGTGGACACGTTCTACGCCTAGAGAAGATAAGGAAGAGGAAAAAAAAAGAACCCAATTGTACCATCTTGATATCACAGACAGTGGAAGACTGGAGTGGTCCTTTCCCTCTCTGCTTGTGCTCTCTTCCTCTATCACCCCTTTTTTAATCTTTCGCTGTGGCGGTCATCCCTCCAGCCTTGCACAAACACGGTGCTTCTTGCAACATTTTTTTTCTGTGATGCCTTTAGCAAACATGATGTTAATCAAATCATCTTGTAAAAAAAATGAAATGATAGAGTAACAAGAGAACTGATCTTTTTACAGCTGTTAGATAGATTGGGCTTTCTCATTCATGTGAAAAAAGCATCTACTGTCATTCACTGAGACTTCTTTTGGACCTGCAAATCCACTGAGCCAGTCAAAGAGCCAAAAAACTGAAGAGTCTGTCATCCATAGGCCCGGGAAGATGCCTGAGAAGGGACGCCGGTAATCTCTTCTGCCGTTTTCAAATGCATTTTATTTTGTTTAAAACTTAGATATTTATTACGTCAACTTATACTGATACATAATGACTTTATATCGCTTGCTGAACATAGAGCAGGACTGTGAGGGACGCAGAGTGCTCAACAGTGACCCCTGTTGCCAGAGAGAACGCTTACATTACTATTGCAGACATTACTGAGTGTAAAAAAATAATGTATGTGTCCTACATATAAACAAGCACAGTCCAGGGACAGAAAGGGACATCCTTTGTGACGTTAATGGACGCAAGTGTAAAAAGCACAATACCACAAATGAATGCTGAACACATTCCAGCACCGCGGGAGTGTTTTTGAAAAAGTGCAGCTAGTGAAATACAGTCTCTGTAACGATGGCTTCAAGTTACTGGACTCCAGGGTTTTATGATGAAGAGAGGAGGTGTGGAATGATCAAATGCGAGAATAAAACAAGCATGGGGGTGAGAGAGAGGGATGAGCAAAACTAGGCTATAGAAAGAACGGCTGCAGAGTGGGAGAAAGATTGAAAAGAGAAGAAAGAGAATCTCCCTTTATGTTTGTCCTTTTTGTTACTAATTTAACAAATGTGTGTATATATATGTACATGTTCCAGACACCAGACTTAAACATAAACCATAAATAAAGCTTTTACAGGTAAGTGTTTGTGTGTAGTCTTTAGTCATATTTCATTCTGGTCAGGTCCTAATTCAGATAAGTGTCATATACAGTGAGGGGAAACAAGCACTCTTGTAAAAAGACACTTTTATTCTTGTTATTTTTTATGTCATTGCATATAACCACTCCACTGCATATAACCACTCCACTGCATATAACCACTTGAAATATGTAGTCTTTTGAATTGTACTTAACAATATGAACAAAAGTAGATATTCATAAGAATAACACAAAGGTCTGATGGAATTTCATTTTTTTATCCTCCATACTTTGAAGGGATTCAACTCAGGAGATTAACTAGGGAAGCACTGTCACATTGATTATTGATTATTGTTATTTTTGAGTTGTATGTTTGGGGTTGTTGTCTTGTTCATCTTCTCCCGAGGTTCAATTTCTTGGCTGATCACATAACATTCTCGTGCTACATTGCTTCATTCAGGTTACCTTCGATGATATGTCAAGCACAAGTATTGTTTGCGAAGCCCCTATAATCATGATGCTCCCACCACCATACTTCACTGTGGGTATGGTGTTCTTTCTCCAAACATGAGTTCTGATTTGTATAAATGTTTCAGTGCAAATGCTGTTTAGTTCATTGCTTATGTTCCTGCTGCTTTCAGGTCATCCTGCAGCTCTTTTTGAGTGATTGCTGGCTTCTCTCTTACCTTCCTTATCATTAATCTGAGAGCACATTGTGAAATCTTTTGTGGCGCACCTGTCTGGGGACAATTTCATTTTTTTTAAAAAATATCTTTTATACATATGAATACATCCTTTTTCTTCATACTTTCAAGTACAAAGTCAAAGGACATTATTCGTGTACATTTGTGGATACATGAAGTGGATACATGCACTGGAAGTGCAATACATAACACAAATAAAAGTGTCTGAATACTTGTTTCCCCATCACTGTATACACAGTCAGATCCACGATTATCACCCTTGGGTATGAGTAAAAAATGGTCATGTAAAAAATGTCTATGTTAATTAGAGTTTGAGATTAATTATCTCAATTTCTTAGTGCAATCTCTTTTTCTCAAAACCACATGTTGTAATTAAAGGCACACTTGCATTTAGTACTTTGTGGAATCTCCATAAGCCAACATAAGAGTCTTCTCCAATGATGCTTGATGAGATTGGAGACCACAGAGCACAAAAAGAAATCTGAGACCCTTCCTGATAATATAGAATCCCTCCAGACCCTCCAGGATCCTAGGCTTTATCTTTTGGACTCTCCTCTTCAGCTCACACCACAGATTTTCTAGGTTAGGTTAAGGGATTGGGATGGCCATGTCAACAGCTTGATTCTGTGGTCATTGACTACTTTTTTATAGATGTGTTGTATGTTTTCAATCAGAATGTCCCACTAGGACAAAACATCACAGATCCTCCACCATTTTTTACAGTGGGAATGAGATTCTTTTTTGTATAACCATCCTTCTTTTCACACCAAACCCACCTTGAATGTTCTGACCATAGAATATGGTTCTAGTCAAAGTTCCAGAAATATCTTTTAAATTCCAGGCATTTATACTTGTGGTTAGTAAGAAGAGCTTTCTTCTGGCATGACTTTTGGAGACATGACGACCCAAAATGTCACCATCCTCTGCAAATCTCCAACTGCGATTCTCAGAGAAATCTCTCTAACCATCCTCCTCACTATGGTGGAGGCAAAATAAAAATGCCTCTCCTTCCAGGCAGGGTCACTACAGCTCCAGTTATTAAGGTCAACATCATTTTGTCCACATTGTATTTGTGTGTTCTCTAATCTTCCCCATGTTGAAGGATGACAAAGGGATTCCAAATGGTAACTTTACAGGAGAAGGCAAAAATGTTACTTTAGTGTAAGTCAATGTAATGAGGTTTTTTGGACCATTTCTATTGGTCCATCCATCATGAACTTTTGACACAGTGTAAGGAGCTGCTGTTTGGCTGAAATTATGCAAAAAAATGTAGATACATGTGTTTTTGGACAAATAATAAAAAATATTTCTATGCATTTTAAACTATGTATATTACAACTGAACTGCTCGTACAATATTATCAACGTACCTTCACATATACGTGTGAATGAATTTGATGAACTAATATGTTCTGTAGTGATGGTCAGTGAGCAGTACTGCAATCTTGAGCAGTGCTACCAAGGCCTAAAGCCTTAAGTCACATTCATGGAAGAACCCTCTACAGCAGGGTTTAATTTGAACACCCTGACGTTTTTGTGATTAATTTTAGGCAGCTTTTACTGAGCTAAGCCTTCTGTCCCCAGCCAGCCACTGAAGCTCTGAACGTGGGCCGCCTGTGTGGAGAGCGAATGGCACTCGGCAGTTACAGCAATTATCTGCTGTACGATACTGAACAAACACTTCAAAGCCTGTGGATTTGCATAAAGACAAATGAACCTGGCTGATTCCTTCTCATTCCCGTGGAGAGAGAGACGCGGCGCTCAGAGCGCTGTGTGAAATCGCCCAGGTCTGTCCCTATCAAAGGCAAGAGTGACATTTCAATTTGAAAAATTCATGACGGTGGTGGCGACCAGCATGGCAAAGCTGTATTGACTGAATACTGATTTGATGGGAAGGACGGATAGACGGGCTTCATTTTTCAGTACTTCTATCTATCGCTCTTTTCCATCTCTTTCTCTCCCTCTCTTTCCGCTTTTGCTGTTTTCTCCCCTGCTCCCTTGCTGTCTGTGTCGTTCCTCGCTTCCTCCACTCATTCGATCAATAATGCATCCCTATTGCTCCCTTGTTCTCTCCTTCCCTCACTTAATCAATAAAACATAGACTACCTGTGCTTCCCCATCTGTGTGCGAGAGTGTGAGAGCGTGTGAGGAGAGAAGGCAGGCACAGGTCACCTCTTCCCTGAACACTAAGCTAATGAAACCTCCCCTGGGTAGGCTGGGATAGGCCTGGCTGAGGCAGTGAGAGAGAAGAAACATGAGGGCAGATGCAGGCCAAGCTTGCAAATCCACATACGCTCATTAACCCACACCATGCAGTCTCCTGGCCCAATGGGACAAAGATTTCTCTATTGGGAAAGGGATGGTCCAATGGTTCTATAGCAATCGGCCTATTGTAGTGAATGCAATTTAAAGCTCACAGCACAGCCACCCTTCAGCGTTCTCCAACAAACAAATCCAAACGTTTGGTGTGCCATATACAGTTATGTCCATAAATATTTGGATGGCAAAAAAAGTTGTTGTTATTTTAGCTGTCTACCACAGCGTATTGGGGTTGAAATTAAATAATGCATATGAGCTTAAGACTTTCAGCTTTAATTTGAGGGTATTTACATCCAAATCAGATGCACAGTGTAGGAATTCCAACTATTTTCACACATAGCCCTTCCTTCCACCAGTTTTAGGGGCTCAAAAGTAAATGGACAGTTGGCTGGTCAGCTGTTCCACGGCCAGGTATGTGTTATTTACTCGTTATTTCACTTCCAAGTAAACAGACAAAAGGTCTGGAGTTTCAAGTGTGGCATTTGCATTTGCATTTTTGCTGTTAACTCTCAATATGAAGTCCAAATGGCTGTCACTGAAGGGAGCCATCATAAGGCTGAAAAATAAAAACAAATCAATGGCCAAATCAAGCATTCAGTACATTCTTAAAAAGAAAGAATGCACTATTGTGCTCAGAAACATTAAAAGGCTTGGAAGACCACAGAAAATTACTGTGGTGGATGAAAGAAGAATTCTTTCAAGAAAAACAGTTGAGCAGCCTTAAGAACACCCTCCAGGAATCTGTGGGGTATCTGTGTCAACAGTCAAGAGAAAACTTCACCAGAGTAAATATAGAGGGTTTACCCCAAGATGTAAACCACTGGTAGGCCTCAAAAACAAAAAGTGTCTTCCTGAGGAAAAAAAAAGTGTATAATTCTGGAACTATAGACAGATGATATAAATATCAACTACCAGAATGGGAAGAAACTGCTCATGTTAGAAAGCTTACCACCTCATTTGTCAAGCATGGTGGAGGTAGTGTTATGGTGTGGGCATTTATGGCTGCCAGTGGAACATTTTCACTTGTATTTTCTGATGATGTGACTGCTGACAACAGCAACAGGGTGAATTCTAAGGTGTATAGGGCTATATTATCTGCTCATATTCAGCCAAATGCTTTAGAACTCATTGGACAGCACTTCACAGTGCAGATGGACAATGACCTGAAGCAGACTAGGCCAAGAAGTGGAAAGTTCTGCAACGGCCATGTCAATCCACTTGAGCATGTGATTCACTTACTAAAGGCAAAACGGATGGTAAAATGCCTCAAGAATAATCAGGAACTGAAGAAAGTTGCAATAAAGTGACTGTATGTATGTTACTACATACCACTGGTTAATTTAGCTCACCATTTTTTATTCTGGAGTAGTATATTTATTAAACTGTTCATGAATAGCTTGTATAATCTCCATAAAAAAGCACTGACAATAGAATGGGACACTCTGGAGCAGTTGCATCAACCTCAGGTCATCATGTCTAATGCCAAGTGTCAGCTTAAGAGGTATAAAGTAGTGGACGTTTTCTGGAGTGATGAAGCTCCATTCCATGCCTTTGGGATAAGTTAGAGTGGAGTTTGTGATCAAGAACTCATCCAAAATCAATACTTCATCTCACTAATGCTCATGTGGAGCACAGTCAAATCCTCACAGCAATGTTTAACATTTATTGTTAAGATGAGCAGAGGGCAGGGCAACAAACTGGGGACAAACTTCCTATTAAAAATGTAAAAAAAGTAAAAAAATTTTTTTCCTATGAAAAATGTATACAGTAGGCTTCTTGTTGAGTTACTTGATGGTTCTCTTCATCACTCTTGGGTGTCTCCTCATTCGGTTCTAAACTTCTAACGTCCTGTGGAGATGTTGCCTCATTAACTTCAACCCGTCATGCAAAGACAGATCACCACAGCATTAAAAGCCTGCCAGTGAAGCACTGATATTACTGCTTTAAGAAAGCATAACATTCCATAATAAAGATATTTAGAG